AAGACTTGAACCACAATCAGCCATGTGGGAGTCCAGAGACATAACTGCTGTGTCATCTGCTAGCCCCTCTATTTTTTTTTTTTTTAATGAATCAGTTACTTACTTACTTTAATTTATTTATTATTCAGTTTGACCAGAGAGAGGGAGATGAGAAAGCAAGCTGCCAGGTCTAGGACTTGAGCCACTGTTGGCCATGTGGGAGACCAGCACCTCAACCACCATGCCATCTGCTGGCCCCCAGTATTTTTTCTTCTTTACTCAGTAATAAACTTAGATTATTGTAACTTTTTTAAACTTTATCTTAGTTTAGTTTTAGTTTTCCTATAGGGCATGTGTGCTCACAGGAGAGACAGAGAAAGATCACTCCCTGGGGAGATGGTCATATTGAAATCCCTTCTCCATTCTACTCTCAGGATTCTGGACATGCACACACAGGAACCCAGGGTATTTTTTTTTTTCAAACTGCTAGGTCCAGGACCTGGTGGCTTGTTTTCTCACTTTCCCTCTCTCTCTGTCTCTCTCTGGTTAATGTTAAATGAATGAATGGATAAAATTACTAAATAATTTTTTAAATTATTCTTTATAAAGAAAGAATTATTTAATTTTATTATTATTCAGTTTGACCAGAGAAAGATAAAGAAAGAGTGAGAAAGTAAGCTGCCAGGTCTGGGACTTGAACTGTGGTCGACCATGTGGGAGTCCAGCACCTTAACCACCATGCCACCTGCTGGCTCCAAAATATACATTTTGATTCTACTGTAGTAAAGTCCACTTATCTGAAAACACAGACTATATAGCTGTACAAAATATTTTTCATAAACTATAAATAAGCATGTTTGTATTTTAACATTTTTCTTTATCTCAAGGTTTTTAAAAAATAATTATTTATTTAATTCCATTTGTTATTATTTTTTAATTTAGTTTTTTAATTTGACAAGAGAGAGACAGCAAAAGGGAAAGGGCGAGAGCAAGCTGCCAGGTCCAGGACTCTAACCGTAGTCAGCCATGTGGGAATCCAGGGCCTTTAACCACCACACCATGTGCTGGCCCCGATCTGTCAAAGTTTTTTGTTAAAAACTAAGACACACACACACACACACACACACACACACACACACGAGCTAGGCCCACACTGGTGAAGATTATCAATAGCACTATCTCTTGCCTCCTCATCTTGTTCCACTGGAAGGACCTAAGTGAAAAAACAGCATGAGTTTAAATCAAGAATGGAAGGGAACCAGCAGTTAGCATAATGGCTATGTCGCTAGACTCCCACGTAGTCGACCGTGGTTCGCGTCCCGGACCCAGTGGCTTAAGACTCAGGCCAGGCGCGTGTGCGTGCATGCCCACGATCCCGAGAGGAGAATGGAGGAGAAGGGATTGCGGTGTGACCATCCCCCCGGGGGGTGATTTCTCGCTTTCTGTCTCTATGTCTCTCTCTGTCTGGCGAGCGCACGTGCCCTAAAACCCCTCCAAAAAAAAAAAAAAAAAAAAGAATGGGAGAAATGATGTAATCAAGAGATGGATAATTATGAGGTATATGAGGCTGCTATAGCATGCTGTTTTACAGTAAACATTTTTTATTTTTTAAGCAGAAGCATCCTCTAAAGAGTTTAACATAGCAAATACGTAAAGCCATATCACAGTCATTTTTAAAAAGAGTTATTTATTCAGTTTTATTTATTCATTCATTTATTTTAATTTGACCAGAGAGAGAGAGAGAAGAGGGAAAGTGGGAAAGCAAGCAAGCCACCAGATCCAGGACTCAAACTGCCGTTGGCCTTGTGGGAGTGTCCAGTGCTTTAACCAGCACGCTGCCTGCTGGTTCCTCACAGTCATTATTATCAAGAATTATGTACTTGGTGCATACTTTATGTCCTTGTGCATACTTTTTTTTTTTTTTTTTAGAGAGAGATTTTTGCTATAGGGTGCATGCACTCACTGGAGAGACGGAGAGACAGAAAGCGAGAAATAACCACCCAGGAGGGATGGCCATGCCACAATTCCTCCACCATTCTCCTCTTGATATTTTGGGTGCACAAGCACACACACTCAGTGAGTTTAAGCTGCTGGGTCCTGGACTCGAACCACAGTTGATTATGTGGGAGTCCAGCGCCTTAACCATTATGCAATCTGTTGATTTTAATGTACTTGTACATACTTTTACGTGACTTGACAGCATGGTAGATTTGTTTAAATCAATATTACCACAAAAAGTGTGAGTGGTGATGTGTTGTGCTACAATATTATTGGCTGTGTAATACCAGGCAGCTACAATGTCACTAGGTGGGAGGAATATTTCAGCTCCATTATGATCTTGTGAGACCACAAGACTGGTGTGTAGAGACCATCACTAACTGAAACATTGATATGAGGCACTTGTCTGTACCTCATTGTGTTTGTCCATTTATCCAACTCTTGGGTGGTTTCCACTTCTTCACTATTATGAATTATGTTGCTGTGAACATGGGTGTACAGACATCTCTTTAATCCTTTCAGTTTGGGGATACATCTAAAAATAGAGTTGCTAGACCATGTGGCAATTCTGTATTTAATTTTTCTGAGGATTTTTTTAAAGGTTTTTGCCATATGGCATGTGTGCTCACAGAGAGACAGAGGGCAGGAAAGTGAGAATTCACCCCCCCAGGAAGGGATGCCCACTCTGCAACCCCTTCTCCATTCTCCTCTCAGGATTTTGGGGACCTGCACATACCTGCCTGACATGTTTTTCAAGCCCCTGGGCCCCACGCTTGAACCACAATCAGACATATGGGAGTCCAGCTAAACTACCTGCTGGCCCTGAGGATTTTTTTTGAGAAGGTAACATGTTTTGTTTTGTTTTTGTTTTGTTTTGCTTCCAGAAAAGCTAAGTCCTAACTATGTCTGTGGAAACAGTGTATTTTTACATTTTTAAAAATCAAGGAGTTATGAAATATTTTAAGCATACATAAACATTAGACTGACTCACAGGATTCTTTAATCTGAAAATTGAGAAATATGTCCAAGATTCTAGAAATCAAGACCAGCAGATGGTGTAATGCATAACGTCACTGAACTTCCAAGTGGTCTCAGACCCAGCGACTTAAAACTCTTGCCACACGCGTGTGCATATACATGCTGAAAGTCCTGAGAGGACATGGATTGCAGCGTGGCCATCCCCTCTGGGAAGTGATTTCTTGCTTTCTGTCTGTCTCCAGCGAGCGCACACACCCTGTCGCAAAAATCTCTCAAAATTTTTTTAAAAAGGGGTCTACCAGGTGGCGTGGTAGTTAAAAGTGTTGGATTCACTCATGGCCAACTGCAGCCCCAGACCTAGCAGCTTGTTTTTTCACTCTCCCATTCTCTCTGTCTCTGGTTAAATTTAAAAAGTAATAATAATAACAAATGGAATTAAATAAATAATTCTTTTAAAATTTTAAAAACAAAATGGGGACCAGCAGGTGGCATGGTGGTTGTGACACTGAACAGTCCCACATGGCCGACTACAGTTCAAGTCCTGGACCTAGAGACTTGCTTTCTCACTTTCTCTCTTCTCTTTCTCTCTCTCTTGCTCTCACTCTCACTCTGTCCCTCTTTGGCCAAATTTAAATAAATAAATAAAGCTAAATCTTTTTTTTTTTTTTTTTTTTTAAAGATAACACCATACACACTATCATCAGTAGAGAGTTTTCCACTTCTTTGTTCATCTACGTAGTTTTAACTGGTTAAAGTAAGACAGGAAGAAAATTAGTTTCATGAAAGCACGTTTGTGCAGCGAATGTGTACTGTTTTTGAAGTCGCTTTTTCCTTTTTTTTTTTTTAATTTGCTAGAAGGTAGTGTACACTCCCTGGAGAGTGACAAATTTGGGATGGGGGCTGAGAAGACACCCCTGAGAAGGAGGATGGCCACACCACAAACCATTCTCCATTTGAGATTTTGGGCATGTGTGCACACAAGCCCACTGTATTTTTTTCTTTTTTTTTTTAAAGACTTATTTATTGGGGTTGGCTGGTGGCATGGTAGTTGAGGCACTCTCCCATATGACCAACTGCAGTTTGAATCCTGGACCCAACAACCTGTTTTCTTACTTTCTCTCTCTCTCTCTGTGCATATCTCTGATAAAATTAAAATAATAATAAAATTAAATACTTTTTTAAAGTAATTATTTAGGGACCAAACAGTGGCGTGGTGGTTGAGGATGCTGGACTCTCACATGGCCAAGTGAGGTTTGAGCCCAGACCCGGCTGCTTTCTTTCTCTCAGAGAAAGAGCACAGAGGCAAAGTGGGAAAGCAAGCCTCCAGATACGGGACTCGAATTATGGTCGGCCATGTGGTTGTGTCCAGTGCCTTAACCACCATGCCACCTACTGGTCCCCAAACTTTATTTATTTTTTAATTTGTTCAGATAGGGACAGAGTGGGACTGGAGTGAGAAAGCAAACCTCCAAGTCTAGGACTTGAACTGCAGTTGGCTATGTGGGAGTCCAGTGGGACCTTAACCAGCACACCACCTGCAGGCATTCCCCCCCCCCCTTTTTTTTTTTTTAGAAAAAAAATTTTTTAACGATTTATTTAGGGACCAGCATTGGCGTGGTGGTTAAGGGTGCTGGACTCACACATGGGTGACTGCGGTTCAAGTCCCAGACCTGAGAGTATGCTTGTGTTCGCTTGCTCGTGCGCTCGCTCTCTCTCCCCCTCCCTCTCTGGTCAAATTAAAATAGAGAAGTAAATAAATAAATAATTCTTTTTAAGTTCTATAAAAATGATTTGTTTTATTTTTTACAGGAGGAGAGAGAGGGGAAAAGTGAGAAAGCGAGCTGCCAGGTCCAGGATTCAAACTGCGGTCTGCCGTGTGGGAGTCCAGTGCCTTACCTACCACACCACTTGTTGGCCCCCTTACTGTGTTTTTTAAGCTGCTAGGTCTAGAACTCAAACTGCACAGTTAGCCATGTAGGATTCAGCCATCCACCACACCACCCATAGCACTTTCAACTCTTCATCTAAAACTTCTTTTCATTTAGGCTGGAGGCAAAGCTGGAAAGGACAGTGGGAAGGCCAAGGCTAAAGCAGTGTCTCGCTCACAGAGAGCTGGGCTGCAGGTAAGGCATGCATGCTGTCATAATTATTGTTTTTGTAACTGTTGCAATTCATGATCTAAATGTCTTATTGTTTCAAAAAATGTATTACTGGGACCAGCAGTTGGTGTAATGGCTGTGTCTCTGGACTCCCATGTAGTCAACTGCAGTTTGAGTACTGGACCTGGTGGCTTAAACTCAACGCCAGGTGCATGTGCGTGCGTGGCTAAGATCCCGAGAGGAGAATGGAGGAGAAGGGATTGCGTTGTGACCATCCTCCCAGGGGGGTGATTTCTTGCTTTCTCTCTATCTCTCTTTCTGGCGAGCGTATGTGCGCTATAGCAAAAAACGCCCCATTAAAAAAATAAAGTTTTTAAAAATGTATTACTGTAAACTTTTAACAATGAGATTAATTGGTCCAGATGTTTGTAGTTAAATACAATATTAATTTGTATTTTTCTAAGCATGTTTTTAGTTTTGGTTTTGATTTTTTTTTTTTTAAGAATTATTTTATTTAATTTTATTCATTGTTACTATTATTATCTAATTTGACCAGAGAGAGAACAAGCCACCAGGCCTGGGATTCAAACTGTCCTCAGCTATGTGGGAGTCTAGCACCTTAACCACCATGCCATGCCACCTGCTTGGCCCTTTTTTTTGTTTTTATCAAGAGGCTTATGTCTTAGGGCATGTGCATCTGCAGGGGAGAGAGAAACAGAAGTAGTGAGAGGGAAAATGAGAAGTCACCCCCCTCCCCCTAGGAGGGATGGCCACACTACAATCACTTCTCCATTCTCCTCCTGGGATCTTGGGTGCACACACACACACACACACATGTGCCCAGCATGATTTTCAAGGCACTGGGTCTAGGACTGGAACTGCAGTCAGCCATGTGTGAGTCTGGAGTTTTTTTTGTTTTTTTTTTTTTTTTTGCCATAGAGTGTGTGCTGGCAGGAAAATAGAGACAGTGACAAGGAAAGTGAGATATTACCCCCAAATGGAGATGGCCATGCCATAACCCCTTCTCCTCTTGGGATTTTGGGTACGCACACACGTCTGACATGATTTTCAAGCCTCCATATCTAGTACTCAAACCTTAGTTGGCCACATGAGAGTCCAGAGCCTTCATCACCACAACGCCTACCGGCTTCCCCCTCCACTAAGGAAGTTTTTAAAAGATCTTAGTGAATTTAATGATTTGTTCTAGTAAAACCTGTTATTTCCAGATGATAGCTAAGTACTTAGTCTTGTTATAAGTTGTATCGTATTGAACTGAATGTGTTGTGGTTTTCCTTTGAAGATGTTGGTAGTGCTATATTTGCTGTCAGATAAATGAGATAGAATTTGAGGGAGACTACCATGATATTAATCCTCTGAATGTTTCCTTAATAGACTCAGTATTAGACTGAATCATATACTTAAAACTGCTAAATCTTTCAAACTTCATATATTTGGGACCAGCAGTTAGCGTAATGGCTATGTCTCTGGACTCCCACGTAGTCAACCGTGGTTCGAGTCCTGGACCCGGTGGCTTAAACTCACGCCAGGCACATGTGTGTGCGTGCCCAAGATCCTGAGAGGAGAATGGAGGAGAAGGGATTGCGGCGTGCCCATCCCCTCTGGAGGGTGATTTCTCGCTTTCTACCTCTCTGTCTCTGTCTGTCTGGCGAGCGCACGCACCCTATAGCAAAAATCCTCTCCAAAAAAAAAGAAAAAGAAAAAAAAAACTTCATATATTTGAATTGTTGCAACTTTGTTTCCTTTTTTTTTATTTGCCAGATAACATGTATACTTACAGAAGAGAGAGAGGGAGGAGAATGAATAAGCATCCATGGGACATTATTTAACTTTATTTATCCTTTTTTTTTTTTTTTTTGGAGAGATTTTCTCTATAGGGCGCGTGCACTCGCCAGACAGACAGAGAGAGACAGAGACAGAAAGCGAGAAATCACCCCCCAGGGGGGATGGTCATACCGCAATCCCTTCTCCTCCGTTCTCCTCTCGGGATCTTGGGCATGAACGGACACGCACCGGTGTGAGTTTAAGCCACTGGGTCCAGGATGCAAACCGCGTTTACTACATGAGAGTCCAGCGAAATAGCCGTTATGCTAACTGCTGGTCCCACCATGGTGATTTCAGCTTTCTAAATAAGGCAATAGATAGAAGTTTGAGACCATTTATGTAAAATAGATAGTTTTTGATGTGGATGTTTCCTAACCAAAGAGAACCAAAAGGGAACACAGGGCATTGGTATCTCTCTCAGAAACACCTGTTAAGAGTTCGGGGGGGGGGCGGGTAGCAGTTGGCATAATGGCTATGTCGCCGGACTTCCATGTAGTTTGAGTCCCAGACCTGGTGGCTTAAACTCACGCCGGGTGCGTGTGCATGCGTCCCGAAGATCCTGAGAGGAGAATGGAGGAGAAGGGATTGCAGAATGATCATCCTTCCTGGGGGGTGATTTCTCACTTTCTATCTCTCTTTCTGGCCAGCGCACGTGCCCCATAGCAGAAATCTCTAAAAAAAAAAAAAGAGTTCAAGGGGAAAAATAGATTGAGGATTAGAGTCAGCACTGGCCTTCAAGAGTAGTATTTAACAGATACTAGATGGTAGGACAGTGATAACACAACTAGACCACATGGGATGGTTCTGGGTTCGTGTCCTAGCACCTTCCTTTACATTCTAGGGCTGTGCCCATAATCCAGGATGGCTGAAGCTGGGAGTGGGAGTGGATTACAACAAGAGACCCTGTTGGGATGCCCTTTCCCCACCATAGAAGAAATAAATACTTTAAAAGCAGTTAACAGGGCCTGCAGATGTAGTGGAGGTTAAGGCAATGGATCCCACATGGCTGATGGAGCAGTTGGAGTCCTAGGTCCAGCCCAAAATCCTGAGAGGAGAATGTAGGAGAAGGGATTGTGGCATGGCCATCCCCCTGGGGGCTGCTCTCTCACTCTTCCTCTCTTTCTCTCACCTCTCTGTCTCAGGCAAAAGCATGTGCCCTGAAGCAAAACCTAAGTAAATAAATACGTACAGACATAAATAAATGTTTAACAGAAGCCAAGGTCAGGTTGGGAGAAATATCTAACAGGAAAGTAAGGTTTTAAAATGTTGCCTTTGAAAAGGAGATATCGGGACCAGCAGTTAGTGTAATGGCTATGTCACTGGACTCCCATGTAGTCGACCGTGGTTCGAGTCCTGGACCCAGTGGCTTAAACTCATGCCGGGCGCGTGTGCGTGTTTGTGTATGCCCAAGATCCTGAGAGGAGAATGGAGGAAAAGGGATTGCGGCATGGCCATCCCCCTTAGGGGGGTGATTTCTTGCTTTCTGTCTCTCTGTCTCTCTCTGTCTGTCTGGTGAGCACACGTGCCCTATAGCAAAAACCTCTCCAAAAAAAAAAGGAGATATCTAGACTGTAACTGAAAGTAGGCATTATAGGGGTGTGGGGAAGTTTTCGGTGAAGTCTGTAAAAGGAAAGGAGCCATGGGAAGGAATTCCTTGGAGCTGTTGAAATATTAGGGTAATAAAGGAGTGAAAAAGGTCTGTAAGAAGTTGTTGGGATGGTCCAGAAGGTGGAGTGGTGGTCAAGGCACTGGCCTCCCACACAGCCGACCATGGTTTGAGTCCTGGACCAGGTGGCTTGCTCTCTTTCTGTCTCTCTCTCTCTGGTGAGCGCATGGGACCTACAATAAATTTTTTAAAGTATAGTAATAGTAAGTAAAATGAAATAAAATAATCTTTAAAAAAAATAGTAAGGGCTTTGAAAATCAGAAAGCTTCCTCTCAGGAAGTAGGAGTCACAATGAGAAATGGTATTGCTTTTTCTCAGCTATTAGGCCGACTCTTGAAACAGGAAAGAACGAATTAGGATCCCAGGAAGTGGTGGAGGTTCAGAGTTGTGTGCAGCTCTTTGAAGAAGTTAACTTGGTCCAGATGTGATCACTGGGCCATGTCACAGTGCAGCTGATGGCAGCCCAGCAGCTCCTGCTTTTTCTAATGAAACTCTCCAGGTTATGCAGATAGAAAGTTGAGGGCTGATTACCGGGACATTGTGTACACACAGGTCCTAGAAACTGTTCGCTGTGCCCAGTTAGTTTGGCTTCTGAAATGTGTGACTGAGTGCTTTATTTCTTGCTTTACCCCTACTGCTCAACCTTTGATTATACTTGTGCCATTTTAAGGCTCTGCAGTGCCTCTTACTGAGATGTTTCTTTTTCAGTTTCCTGTGGGCCGCATCCACAGACACTTGAAGACTCGCACCACAAGCCACGGAAGGGTGGGTGCCACTGCTGCCGTGTACAGTGCTGCAATTCTGGAGTACCTCACTGCTGAGGTTTGTGGGAGTAGAGGATGTCTGTTATGTCTGGGAATCCAAAAGGTGTTACAGACTAAGTGGCTGAAACCCACAGAATGTAAAAAGACATATAAGTTGAACATCCCTAATCCAAAAATGTTCCAAAATCTGGAACTTTTGAGTGTTGACATGATACAGGCGAAAAATTCCATACCTGACCATGTATGACAAATCATGTGTTGTCAAAACACTGCAACGCAGAAATACTGTGTAAAATAGCCTTGAGGCTATGTATATGGGGTATATATGAAACATACATAAATTCTCTTTAAACTTAGGTCCCAGCCCCAAGACAACTCATGTATATGTAGATATTTCAAATAAGGGATACTTAACCTGTTTGTGCTCATTTCTTTTTTTTTTTTTTTAATGTCACTTTTAGGTGTGTCTTGTTGGCAATGTCAAAAAGAATTTTGGTATACTAAGGGACACAACCAAGTAGTGTATAACGCTATACTACTAATTAAGTAACTTAACTACTAATTAAGTTTTGGTCAAAAACACAGTATTTGTGAAGTTAATAAAATAACCTCTTAGTGGGACCAGCAGTTAGCATAATGGCTATGTCGCTGAACTCTCACGTAGTCGACCGTGGTTCTCATCCCGGACCCAGTGGCTTAAACTCACACCGGGCGGGTGTGCATGCATGCACTAGATCCCGAGAGGAGAATGGAGGAGAAGGGATTGTGGCATGGCCATCCCCCCTGGGGGGTGATTTCTCGCTTTCTATCTCTCTGTCTGTCTCTGTCTTTCTGGCAAGCGCACGCACCCAATAAGGAAAAAACCTCTCCAAAAAATAAAAAAATAACCTCTTAGTTTATGAAGATTTTGGGGGATATAGCTATAGGCTCGCAAATCTATTAAGACATAAAAATCACAAATACATTATGATGGTATCAAAGGCAAAAGACCTCATTGGTCCTCTGGTTCTCTGTATGGTTGTGCACACAAAATGGTGTATCTGACTTGGTTTGACATTTCTGGAAGATGTGTTAATTGGGACAAATGTTCTTAATTCTTGGGTCATAGACCATGACTTCCCCCATCCCTGCCGTACCTAAGGAAGACAGGCAGGATAGTTCCTTCAGCTGCTTTCCAAAGCCAGAGAAGTCACTTGAGTAGCAAGCCAGTGGTAGAGACAGCCAGTCTAGTGGAAACAAAAGGAAGGTTCTGACTTAGGAAGATGTGGTTGGGAGCTACGCATGAACCTGAATGTCAATTACCGTTGCAGTCTTAACCTCACTCGGTTATCTGCGTCCTACTGGAGATTTAACATCAACTCACCACTAGTAAGTATCAGTTGTGCTCCGTCGTTCTGGTACTAGCTGAGAATCTTTTTCCCTTCTTGGTCTTATACCAGTTTTTAAGTGCAGATTCTAGAAAGATATGCGTTTTGTTCACTGGTTTTGAGGCACAGTATTCTGGCTCTTCATGTTCATGTCTAATATGTCCCGTCTAAATTCCCATTTTCTTTATCCTTGGGGACTTTGGTTAAAATTCCTAAGATTAAGATGGGGGAGGAGGTGATATGTATATATACAAACACTCACATTCAGCGTATTTTTTAAATATTTAAATTTGGAGCTTTATGGGGCCAGCAGATAGCATGGTAGGTAAGGCGCTGGACTCCCAAGTGATAAACCATGGTTTAAGCCCTGTACTCGTTGGCTTGAATATTACCCCTGGCCCACGTGTGTGTGCCCAAAATCCAGAGAGGAAAATGGAGGGGAAGGGATTGTGGTTTGGCCATCCTCCCTAGGGGGTTGATTTCTCCCCAACAAGTGCATGCACCCTATGGCGACCTAAAAATAAATAAATGAATAAATTTGGAGCTTTGGTCATTTAGTAGAGGTCAAATACTGAAATCTAAGCCAAGAGTACAGGTCATAGGTAATCACATTTCAGCGCTGGCACTGGAATCGCTTAGGGAGCTTTCAGAAAAACACTGGTACTAGGACTCACCCCAGACCAGAGTCCCCAAGAAGAATGGGTCATGAGACTGGTGGGTTTTTAGGTGCAGGTGGTGTGGTGGTTTTTTTTTTT